GTCAAGCTTTCAGCACTGTGCCTGGAACATGGCAAATGTTCTGTATCTGTTAGTGCTGTTGTTCACAGTGACGAACGGGGGGGACCTGGGCAGGTCAGCAGGGTCAGTCTTGATATCAGGGGGGATGCGGAAAAGAGGGCTTGGCAGTGAAAACCAGCTGCATCTCACCTCTGTGCTTGGAAGGGGAGTGTTAGGTTTACTGCCTGCACCCGTTCAATCCCCTTCACTGGGGCCATGTGGACGCTTCCCACATACTCAAGGAGGCCAGCCTGGCCACATGGCACGCCAGCCTGGGACTCTGAGATTCAGGCTCTGCCACCAACATGCTGTGTGATGCTGGGCAACTCACTTGCCCTCTCTGAAGTAACTTCCCCATCTGCAGAGGCCTCGCAGCCCTAACCTCTTATGGAGTTAAATTGTTTTTCATAGTCCAGGCTTCACAGCGGGACTCCCATCTGAGCCCATCCCCCCAGGCAGACAGGTCTGGGCTCTCATGGTTGGGGACACAGCCCAAGATGCAGAGGTAAGACACCCAGTTACAGCCCCAGCCTGGAAGCCTGGAGTACTGATCCTGGGATGGCCAGAGCTAAAGTCTGCCCTTTCCCCCTGGCCCAGCCGGCAGATAAATTTACATTCTTTTGAAAACCATCACATAAGTGGGTTTCTTGAAAAAAAAAATGTATTGAATAAATGAATGAATGAATGGCAGAAACAATGCAGAGTACTGGGCAAAATAGGGGCTTTTGCTTCATTCAGATGAAAATCTGACCCCAACTTGGCCCCTTCTAGCTGTGTGGCCCTGGGCAGACCTCTTGACTTCTTCGAACCTTGGTTTCCCCTCATACTAAATGGGGATAACAATCCACATGCCATGAGATGGTTGCGAGGTTAAGTGACCCCTTCCATTTACACGTGTAAATGCTTGGTACCTGGCACATAGTAGGTACTCAACAAATGACAGCTATTATTATCAGGATTGTAATTACAAGCCTGCTGCCCCAATTGTAAGGCAGAGGAACCAAGGCCATCAGCCTTGTTTGGTGCCCATTTCCAAAGAGCTCTGACTACCAGAGACACATTATCTCAGTCCTCCCACCTGTGTACCTTCCAGCTGGTGAGGAACAGAGCGCCGTCTGGTCTCCCAGGGCCAGGCAGGGAGTGAGCTCGCGGGGGAGGCTCTGCCACCTTCCCTGGACCAGTCCTGGCAGCATACTTGCTTCCGGCCTTAGTCGAGCAGCTGGAGCATGAGCCACGCTGTCTTGCCCGTGAAATGCAACTTTTGGAAAACATGCATATTTGTGAGTTGGTGCGTGTTTCTATTTCGGGCCAACACTGCCCTCTTTACTTATTTTCCCTGGGCTTTGCATCTGGAACGCAGCTTGCAAGGGTGTTCTGACAGACTTTGACGCTGCTCCAGGCTTCTCTGGCTGGAGACATGCTCAGGTGTGGGAAGGGTGGGCAAGAGAAGGAAGATTTCAGATGACAAGCCCTCTTCCTTGGCTAAGAGTGACAGATGATCAGACACCCCTGCCTCCCTGTCCAAGCCCTCGGTTTCTTCAAGTATAGGTGGGGGAAGAATATAAGAGGTTCGGGTGGGGAGCAATTTCAACGAGGGAGAAGGGAACCAAAGAGGCAAATCACTGAGTTTCCAAGCATCATAATGCTCACATCATGATCAATACCAATAACACCATTATCAACCACTGCTGCCGCCACCCCCACCCTTTGGGGGCACCTTTTTTTTTTTTTTTTTTTTTTGCGGTACGCGGGCCTCTCACTGTCGTGGCCTCTCCCATCGCGGAGTACGGGCTCCGGACGCGCAGGCTCAGCGGCCATGGCTCACGGGCCCAGCCGCTCCGCGGCACGTGGGATCTTCCCGAACCGGGGCACGAACTCGCGTCCCCTGCATCGGCAGGCGGACTCTCAACCACTGCGCCACCAGGGAAGCCCTGGGGCACCTATTTTTATGACTGAGAGCGGGCTGGCTGATTACCCTCAGGGAAAGCACCTCATCTTTCAGCATCTCGCTTCGCTCATCTGTAGAGGTGATTTTCGCAGTACCCAGCTCGTGGGGTTGTGAGAAGTGGTTGCTTAGCCAAATGGTAGCGATGAGTGTCTTCCCACCCGGCTGCAGATCCTGGCCAGCTGCCCGTGGACAGCCTACTTGGTAGAGTCTTCGGGACTTGGAGTTAACTGCCAAGCCTCTACCCACCAGGCATGGCCTCTAAAGCTGCTCTCAGCTAGCCCCTTCTCTGTGGTCATTTGCAACCAGCCCAGAGTCTGCCTTAAGGGGGGAAGGGACTCAGACAATTCCATCCACCTTTGAATGACCAGGTGAGTGGAAGGGGAAATGAGAAGACAAGGGAAACATGTCTAAACTATCAGAGAAAAGGGCTTAAACCATAATTCCAAGATTCCGAGGGTCAGGGGATCCAGGTTTTAGTCCTGACCCTTCCACTCATTCATTCATTCACCAAGCTGCCACCAGCACAAGCAGTGGTTCATGCAGAGGATATACTGACAGTAGAATCAACGCCTGCCCCAGTGGAGATGGCACTTCAGTGGTGTGACCTCAAGAAAATTACTTGACATCTCTGGTCCTATAAAGGAAATCATCTGAACATCCATTGCTCAGGGGACAGGATGCCTTCACCGGTGGTGGGTGCTCTGAGGAAGGGGAAAGGTACAATAAACTCTGGGGTTAGAATCACAATTTTCAATCCCACCCACACTCAGGAGAAAGGAGACTCGGGAGAAAGCCAGTGTCCCACATTATTAGGGCCAAACTGGGACCCTTGAAGGTCACCTCAACCAGCCCTGTCCTTGTACAGATGGGGAAGCCTAAGGCTCAGAGAAGGGAATTTGCCCATGGACACACTGGGAGCCTGTGGCCACGCTGAATCTAGGATCTGCCTCCCCGCTCCGCACTTCCACTCCAGTGTTCCTTCCACTACATCACCCTGTGACTCTTCCTCTCTCAGCTCAGCTTCTGGATTTTAAGGGGCTTGCTGCGATTCCAGAACTGAGGAATCCTGGCCCCTTGGAGAGACTGTGAGGGATCTGTGTCATCTGGCCCTGGAGATTTTCCCGGGGACGGGGCAGAAGCTCCCCATGGGGAGGAAGGTCAGACTTCCAAAGAGAGACGTATGGGGGCGTGGATTCTGCTGGGGGAATGAAGTCAGCTCCCCCTAAGGGTCAGCTGTGGCCGCATTGGAGCAAAGACCGACTGGATCAGACCCCCGGCTGCAGGAAAGTTGGGGAGAGAGTGAAGGCAGCTGGGAAAGAGGAATTGGGAAAGACAAAAGGTGTGTGTGTGTGTGTGTGTGTGTGTGTGTGTGTGTGTGTGTGTGTTTGTGTAAGATAAACATGGGGGAGGGGAACCGAGCAGGGAAACAAAGAGACAGAAAGTGCGAGCAAAGAATATGCAGAGAGACGGATGTGGACCTTGGCTGCAGGAGCTTTGTCTGAAGTAAGAAAGGGGAGCAGGCATGAGGGCGGTGAGCTGAGAAAAATGGACTCTGAGCCCAATACCAAGATTCTGTAAGGCTGGGGCTCTGTTTGCCGCTTCCACTGGGCCAGGCTACTCCTTCCACTTGGCACATACCCTGGTTCCTGACCAAGTCTGCACTGGGGTGGGGGGAGGGTTTTCTTTGTGACCCGCTGCTTCCCTCAAAGGGTGTGTGTGTGTGTGGGGTGTGTGTGTGTGTGCATGGTGGGGGGGGGAGGGCTGAGGCTGAGGGAGGGAGCCTGAGTAGCTCTGTGAGTCACTGGGCATCCCTGTGAGCACCCGGAGGTGAGCTCTGAAGTCTGAGGCTCAGTCAGGTGTCCAGAGACAGCAGGACCTGAGAGAAGATATTGCTCGGCTTGCTGGTGCTTGTGGGAAGATCTGTGTTTGTTCACGTGCGTGTGGATCTTCCCTCCATGTGCCGATTGTGTGGAGTGTGGGTGGATGTATATCGCGTGAGTGGACTATGAATCTGTGGGGATTGTTTGCGGGTCTGTGGTTTGCGGGTGGACCCGTGTCAGTATGTGCATGGACTGTGGGTCTGTGTGCTCTTGGGCCCGTGCGCACGTGTGCGGGGGTTGTGAGTCTCCAAGGCCGCCTCCAGGTGCTGTCCGCGGAACTGACCCCGGGCGTGGACGGGCGGGCACCTGCGCCCAGTCTCAAGAGGAACCTGGGGCCAACTGTGGAGCAAAGAGGGGCCGAGGAAAGGACGCCTCCTAGGAGGCGCCTTCCTAGCCCAGCTGCGGACCCCCCAGGGAGTTTGGAAAAGTTCTCCCAGTGGCGGGGTTGCTCCCAGGAGTCGCCGCCACTCGCGCCGAGAATCTTCCCCACACCCTCAGCGCCACCACTGCTGGCTGCCCGCCCCATCTCCACACTCACTAGCGTTCTCAGCAGGGCCCGGAGACCCTCTCGTGCTCAGCTTCCAGAGCCTACCCGGTCTGCCCCAGAGCTCCCGCGCGCCCGGTTGGACCGGTTGCCAGGTTAATTGGGCCCCAGCACTCCGGGAAGGTCCAGTCGAGAGCATGAGTGCGCTAAGGTAGAAAGTGGATGGAGAGGAGGTCGTTATCTTTTCCAGTCCCCTCCCTGAGCTCCAGCTGGGGTGAGAGACTGATCCCGGGCGGCTTCAGACTGATGCTCAACTTTTCCGGAATCAGTCATCCATCCGCAGGGACTAGCAGGGGACTAGAGGTCGGAAGCCTCGCCGTTTGTGGGCATCAAACAGGCTGGTGCAGACCCAGGCTGCTCGGGCCCCGCGGGGAGTTGGTGAGGAGGGAGCTCGGCCGCGGGGGGCTATAGCTCTGGGCTCCGCGCCCCACCAGTGGGCTTTGCCGGAGGGTCCGAGGCCCGCATCCCGGGCTGGCTGGACAGCGGGAGAACTTCACATACAGAGCCGCGCAGGCCGGGGTGGGGGCGGCGCGGAGGGCTTGCCCCCCTCCTCCGAGCAATGCATCCCCCTGCCCCGACCCGGATGGCGCCCAGCGGCCGTCGCACTCACCTCGGCTGGCCAAGCTGAGCTGGCTGAGCCGCGGGCGCGGGTGGGAGGCGCGCCGTAGGGGGCCGAGGGCTGCGGCCACCCTGCCGTGCGGACTTGTCCCCTCGCGGGAGTCGCAGGGAGAAGCTCTTCGGAGCTGCAGGAGGCCGGCGTTCCCCGCTCCGCTCCAGAGCGCACAGACCGCGCTCACCCAGCTGTGTGTCTCGCTCCCCAGCGCGCACCGGGAGCTCGCTGCGCCGCCGCCGCCTTTTATTCGCCGCCCGCCTTTGTTTGGGTCCGGGCTCCTACCACGGGGCGTGGGGGTGTGCAGGGCAGGCTCTGGGGCCACACCGCCCCCCAGACCCTGGCGCCGCCGGCCTCCGCGCCGCCCGGCTTTGAGTCAGTAGCCGGCGAAGGCTGGCGCTCCGCCGCTCCCTGTTGTCTCCAAAGCCCGCCGCCAGGCGCCACGGTGGCCGCCGCACCCCCTGCGAGAGCCGCGCTGTGGTATAGCCGGGCTCTCAAAGCCTGCGGGCGGGGACTGCGAGGGGCGCAGCGACCCCTGTGGGTCAGTCCCCGCCTCTGCAAACGGCCCTGACAGGGTCCCCTGCCCCGCCCCCCGCCCCCCCTTTCCTAGATTCCCACCTCTCTCCTAGCCCGCGCTCCTCTCCCCGTCCGCCCGGCCTTGGCAGGTCACCAGCCTCCTGGACACTGGAGGGCATCCTCAGGTCTCCTCTGGAGGGAGCTGCCAAGCCCAGGTTCCTGGCGCCGTCCCTTCCTCCCATCTCCATTCATCTCTCTGGCACCAGAGCCCAGAGCCATGCCAGCTCCTGGGACCGGGCATCCCTCCAGCCTTAGTACACGCTCTGCCTATATCCCTGGTTCGCGGGCCACAAGGAGAAGGGGCCAGGGATCCAAGGCTATTATTGCCTGGCTCATTTCTCTCCATCAGGAGAGAAAGACTCAGAGGACATTAGCATTGGTGTCACCCAGGGAGAGCCAAGGGGGATGCCTTGAAAGAGGACCGGTTGACAGCCCCCAGCAGCCGGATGGAGGGGTTTTACTTATAGAAGCCAGAACGAAGGGAGGCCATTGTTACTGTTGTGTGAGGGGTGAGCCAGGAGTTTACGATACATCCTCAGTGTGTGCTGAGAGCAGAACAGAGGAAATGGAGAGGGGGTCGAAATGCAACCTCTGTCTCTAGGAAGTTCCCAGCTTACAGGGCAGATAGAAACACGGTTGAATTCTAAAATGAAACACCAGGCCCCATACCCACACACGGATGCTTAATCCACGCCGCAGCCTTTCTTTTTAAAAGAGGAAAACTGGGGCTTCCCTGATGGCGCAGTGGTTGAGAGTCCGCCTGCCGATGCAGGGGACGCGGGTTCGTGCCCCGGTCCGGGAAGATCCCACGTGCCGCGGAGCAGCTAGGCCCGTGAGCCATGGCCGCTGAGCCTGCGCGTCCGGAGCCTGTGCTCCGCAACGGGAGAGGCTACAACAGTGAGAGACCCGCGTACCGCAAAAAAAAAAGAGGAAAACTGAGTTGGGAGCACCTCTAACATGGAAGGGCTGAGTGGAGCTTCTGTTTGCTCCTCACCTTCCATCCCCGCTCTGTCTCTCTGGTGTGCAGCCCCTGGGGGCTGTTCCCAGTGGCTGGCTGCCAACTGGACACATGGACGTTTATGATTCTGGATGCCCTGAGAGCTCATCTATGCAGAAGTGAATGGCCCGAGCCAGTGTTTCTATCCTGGCACTCACTCCCTATGTACTCAAGATCGTCATGGGAACCACTGCCAGGCTGGCCAAATCTATCAGGGAACTCCCAGTGGTCCCATCTGGCCTTGAAGACATTAGGGTTTAGGACAGCTCCTGTGTGATGGGTGCCTCCCTGAGCTGTGAGCGGAGAGAGAGACAGGAGACCTTTCCCGAGAAGTGGAGAGCACGTGTGTGACTGCCCCCAGATCAGAGGCCAAATCTGACACATGTGCACAGAGGAACAGACTCAGCATGGCCCTGCAAACGTCTAGTCTCTCTTGCCACATCCCAGAGGGAGGGCAGAGAACGTGGCACCATGGGAGAGGGTGGGAGGAAGGAGAACCAGGAGAAGATCTGTTTATGAGACACAAAAGTGTGTTCCCAAGCCCAGCTGAGAGCAAAGGGTTTTCTCTGCGGGTGAATGGCTTACGCTTTTCCATTTGTGTGAAGGCTGCTTCCAGGAGCCTCCTCAAAGCTCTCCAAGGCTCATTCACTGTTCCTCCCAGTCGGACAAATCCACAGGGAGCAATATTGATGTGCTCCGTGTGTCACCCTCAGCCCATGCCTGGGGACACAGCCCTCACTTTCCTGGGAACTATTTTTAGTGGATTTGGGTCCTAGCTTCATGCTGTCTACCAGGTCATAGCTGTGGCCCCTCAGCCACACCCTCCTTGGAGTCCTCCCTGGCCTCCTGGGACCTCCAGATGATCTCCAGTGGGGGCTGGGTTTGGTCAGCCCTTGATGTGGGATCTTCTGGGAACAGAAGGTCCAGAGGCAGAGGCCCAATGGAGCAAAGGAGGAGGTGGGAGTGTGGTACCCAGGAACACTGGAAGCATGCAATTTTCTCAGGCCATCAGCGGGGTTTTAAAAATGCAAATGGAACTGGGCCTTTGAAATATGCCTGCCATGAAGTGGAACTGGCGGTGGTGGCAGCGGAAGCTGGCACCGGTGTGGAAAGTCACAAGAAGCCCCTCCTAGAGCCTCATCCTCGGACTCCCCCCTGCCCTCTACTCCATGTTTTGCCTGCAGGAGAGAATGCCTGTTTACAGGGGCCTGGGAATGCTGGACTCAGAGATCCCTGCCCAACCTCGGGGCCCCTCCCTGAAGCCTTCTTTCCCTCCAGGTGTTAATTAAAGATGACTCCGAGAGTCAAATGATCCACCCAACTGCAGGGCTGCAGAGAATGAGATTCTGCGTTCCCCTGGCCCCCCACTCTAGTGATGTCTGTTGGAAGTCCTTCCAGGGTCTGATTTAAATGCCTCTTGGTGCCGATAAGCTGCTTCCCCTGTTCTCTGTCTTCACGACTAATTGAAAGGCCTTCTTCTGTAAGAAGTTGGAGCTATAAAGGGCTGCTTTGTCCTTAGCTCTCATCCCTTTATTTCTATTTTCTCTCCAACCATGTCTGAAGCAGAGCCTCTGAGCCCAGCATCTGATTCCACTACTCCCAGTAAAGCCGTGTTTCTGTTCCATTCCTTAGCAGCTATGTGACCATGGGAAAGTCACTTCACCTTGCTGAGCCTTACTCATCTCATCTATAAAATGGGGATGGTAAAAGTACCTATCTCACAGTAGTGGCTACAAAGAGTTTACTAAATGAGATAATCTCAGTGAAAAAATAGTATTTACCACAGTGCACGGCACAAGCCAAGCTCTAAATAAATATTACCTGCTGCTTTTCCTTCTCCTTCTCCCCCTCCCCATTCTTCTTCTTGCCTGTTGGGCAAGAGTGACCTACAGGTGACCGTAATACCTCTCACTTCTTTGCCCCACCCCTGGTGAGGGGGGCTGTGCGCAGACCAAGTCCTCCTGCTAAATGTTTAAGCAGCTAAGGGAAAGGGTATATGGTGACGGATGGGGTGTTCATTTTTAACAGTGCCGTAGATTAAGCAATTTCTCCATCATCCCCACCATCAAGGAATAGAGTAACTGTATTTATAGGTGTTTCCCTCTTCAGTCTGCTAACACACTGAGTTTGGCCCCAACCCAAAGAGATTAGAGGTTTCCCTCTAATCTCACCTTCTCCAGGATGCCCAGAGGCAAGTGAACTGGGGTGTGCTGTAAAGAGTTCTAGATTTAGGAAACTGAGTTTGATTTTTCTACGTGTCGTTTATTAACTGTATGACCTTGGGCAAGTCACTTCATTTCTCTGAGACTCAGTTTCCTCAACTGCAAAATGGGAGTAATAATGAACTCTGCCTATAATACTCCTGCAATTATCTTTTCAGCTGAGGTGGAGCACAGGTTTATAGGTAACAGTTAGGTAATTAGTCATATATATAGTTATATATAGTCGGAGAGCCATATGCTAGATAGAATGAACAATCCCTGTTTCCATGACTTTCAAGGTCGGTTGCTCATCATGTGATATAATGGACGCAAAAGAGCTCAGGAAACTTGCCCAAGTTCATGGTGAATGAATTTCTGACTCCAGGTCGTGTAGCAGGTCAGTGGAATAGTTTGGGTTGGACCCAGGCCTCCTTCAGTCTCGAGCTTCTCCCAAGACAGCGTCTTTCCTCTCCCCAGCCCCGTTCTCCCTGAAGTTCTGTTCAGGAGGGGAGTGTGAGTTTATGGGGGGAAGAGGATAGAGGGGCCAATAATTCAAGAGAAGAAAAAGAGGTCTGGGGAAAGGTGATGGGGCCAGGCTGGGGTGGGGATGCTGCAGACAGGGCCTGGGGGAGGCTGGGCAGGTGGCAGCCCTTCACTCCTGCCTCTCCAGAATTTCGCGAGCAGCAGGCTTCGCACTCCTTTCCCAGCCTTGCCTGCCTCCTCCAAGGAAGCAGGCAACTTATGCCAGAGTGAATACAATCCAAGTTATTAGCTGCCTGCAACAATTAGCCCCAGCGCCTGGGCCGGCTGACACCTCGGCTTGGAAAGAGGGAGCCAATTACAGCATCATCAGTGTTCACGCTGCCACATAATCCTCTCCCAACACGCCGTCCCCCCATTCCCCATCCAGGTTTCTAGAGGCCTTTGCTCTGACTTCAACATCTGGAGAAGACCAAGTAGAGGCCTTCAAGAGTGAAAGTCAATGAGGGGTTAGGCCCCAAGGGGCACTGTACACAGCAGGGCTAAGGCACTAGCAGGGAAGAGCAGGACCCTGCCACAGATGTGGACAGTGCGGCACTAGCCAGAGACTGTCTCATTGTGAGGGAGAAAGTATAACCTCCAGGTTGTGGGTTTTAAGTAGATTCCGTGCGGGTTTATTGTTAGAACTGGCTTGAAAGGGAGAGGTCAGAAATACCCAAAAAGTTCTCGTTTAAATCCCAGCTCAGTCACATACTAGCACTGTGGCTTTGGGAAAATCCTTTCATGTCTCTGAGCTCGTTTCCTTACGTATAAACCTGCCACAGTGGCCACACCTCCCCAAGGAGGGAGATACGGCACAGTGGCACATAGTAGCACAGCTAGTGGCACACAGTGAGCAGGAAATAAACGGTAGCTATTGTGTTCTATATGGAAGGAGCCCTGGAAAGAGA